GCCATAGACTGTAGCATATGTGGGTGCAGTGCCTCTACCGTCGGGGAGTTTAAAAAGGAACGAACGAGTCTCGGCCCAAGATCGGAATTTCTCACCCAAAAAAGAAAAAAGAATTTGCGTGATAATTTGGATGTGTAGCGTGAGTGCATGTGGAAACAGGCAAAATCGTGTGTCACACGGCGAAACCGTGAGAGTTGGCAGCTCTGCTAATGTATCTGCCGTTAGCCTGCAACTGAACGGGGCTCAGTAACCTCACAGTGAACACAACCTCTGACACAGACGGGACGGTTTAATGCAGCTAATGTTAGCCAACTTAGCTAATTTAGGGTGGCAGGAACCAAAACCGGTAATAAAAACACCTCCGTACTTTAATCCCTGTCTTCGAACTGTCCTCTGTCGGCATTGGATGCTGTAATTGGTCCTGGTCTTAATGTGATTTTCACTGGGGGATGAGTCCCTTGCTAGCTGCCTGTTTTTACAGGAGTACATAAATGTGCGGAAGCAAACAGCACTCTGATTTTTCCATTTCACCTGGACTTTAATGGAGCCTTTTGAAATGATCTTTCTTTACATTGTCTGATGTGAAACTGTCTCCGTTTTGGCTTTTTGGAGCTATTCAAAGGCCTCTGTGCACCCTTTTCATAGTGGAAGACTATCCCCATGTTTGTGAAGGTCACTTGGTCTGCACTTTGATGCTGATATGTAAAAAAAACATTTATTTTGATGGTTATATTATCAACACAAAACAAATAAGACCAAAGGTGCCCAATGCTTACAGTACAGGTGTGGCTGTAGAGCTGCGTCTGGTCTTCACCCACAGGTATATCCAAAGTACTGATCCATCAGGGAATACTCGAGATAAATATAGTGTTACAATATCCGGGCTGTTCCACACGTTTTCTCTCTACGATGGAACCACATGTCTTACATTGTCATTCGTGGACTGAAAGAGAGCTTAAGAAGAGAGAAGGTCATGGCGTGTGTAGTAGGTTGTGGTAAAAATACAATACTACCCAAGGTTGAGGTGGTGCAGTTTGTGGATTTAGCACCCCCACATTGGTTTAACCAGAGCAATAAGGGACCCAGTAAATCCAGTGGATCATTTGTCTGGAACAAACGTAAAAGTAGTTTGAACCGCGTTTAGTTCTACCAGAGTACTGTACACTTCTGTTGGTCGAACAGCCTCTCTGGGTTTTTGAGGGTTGAGGGTTTGTGCGTTACTTTGTCCCCTAAACTTTCAGGTGAACTGCAGCTTGCACCGTTGCATTCATCCAGCAATAAACCTGAACCCATTTGGAAACTTACAAATGGTCTTGCCAGGATTGGTGACATTAGTTGTCCCCAGTTTATGTTCTGCTTCGTTGTCACAGAGCTCTTTAACACACGGCACTGTTGCACCGAATGTATCATTAAAACACTGCACCTGTCCAGTGGGACCAGCAGGTTGGTGGGCTTGTTTCTTTGTTATGGTCTTGATTATGTCCCTGTGGGAAGTATGACTCCAAGAGTCTCCTAGCAGCTTTGGTGGCTAAAGTACCCACGGAAAGGGGGAAGGATAAGGGAGAAAAGGGGAAGAGGTGGTAAGGAGAAATGTAGGGAGGCTGGAGAGGTGAAGGAGGGAGGAAGAAGGAGCTACTGTTGTCCAGCAGCCTCCTGTTACCTCACTGTCACTGTTGTTTTTTTTCAGCAGCCAGTGAATAAATCCCTTCTTCTAAGGTTTATTCTCCTCCTCCTCTTTTTCTTTCTTTGCCTTTTCTTTCTGTCATCATCTTCTTCTGAAGGATGTTGAAGCCTCTTCTCCTGAGCTTTTTCTTCTGCAGGTGAAACTCATGCAGCTGTCTATTGTCCTCCCCCAGCTGTTGCACTGCTGTCTCCCAGCTCTGAT